TTTACAAGAGTAGTGGAAATCTCAAGTGGGAGACTTGAGGACTGGATGTAGGCAGGATTGGTCGAACCAGTATAAAATCAAGTTTGCAATTCTTCTTTCCTTACACTTTTAATTTCTTGTTATTAATTATAATTGTGTAGTTTGCATCATCATTCATTCTTTACATACAAATTTGTCTAAGGAAATAAATTGATTAAGAAGTAATTGGAAAAGTTTTTATAAGAGGAAATTTAGTAAACTTAATTCACCCCCCCTCTTAAGTTAATTGAGGCTAAGGGACTAACATATTGTTTCTAAAGTACAATAAAGAAGGAAAAATTCTCATTTTCAGTGTATATGTAGATGATTTGATTTATACTGGTAATGGTGAATTGTTGATAACCACTTTTAGGAACTCAATGAAGAAGGATTTTGATATGAAAAACTTGATAAAGATCAGATTCTCTTTTGGAATTGAAGTTCTACAAGAAGATTATGGGGTTTCCATGGAAGTTTCATCAAAAGAAATATGTCATGGAATTTTTGAAGAGATTTGGCATGACAAATAGCAATTCAATTGGAGTTCCCATGGTGTTGGGATACAAGTTATGCAATGATGAAAAAAAAGGTGAAAGTGAATGAGAAACAATATAAGAAATTGGTGAGAAGTCTTATATATATCACAACAATGTAACTTGATTTGATGTTTGTTGTTTTTTACCAGTCAATCTATTAGCCAACAAATTCAAATGCATATGCAAGCTACAAAAAGGTCCTAAGATATTAGTGAGGAACTACTATCTTTGGCATTTTGTATAAGAAAGGAGGGAATAAAGCATTATTAGGCTATGCAAACAATGATTATGTTGGTGATATGGAGGACAGGAAAAGTACTTTGAATTATGCATTTATATTGAATAATGGAGTGGTAGCTTAGTCTTCCAAGAAGTAACCAATTGTAACTTTATCTACCACATAAGTAGAATTTGTGTTAGCATCAACTTGTGCTTGTGAAGTTGTTTGGATAAGGAGAATTATGAAGGATTTGGGGCATTATCAAGAAAGTTCCATTACTTTGATACGTGACAACAATTCAGCTACAAAGTTGTCAAAGAATCCAATCATACATGGTAATAGTAAGCACATTGATGTACGATTTCACTTCTTTAGAGATCTTAATAAGGATGGAGCTATTGAGATGGTTCATTATAGAACAAAAGATCAGATTGCAAACCTATCGACTAATACATTGAAATTGGATACCTTTCTTAAGCTTCATGAGAAATTGAGAGTTTGTGAAGTTCCTAGAACAAACTAGTTGCACTTGTCTCTGTCATGCAATTAGTTTAAGAGAGGAATTTGTTAAGTCAACTTTCTATTGTAAAAAATGATTTGGTCAAAGTCTATAGTTAGTTTTGTTATTTTTTCTGTTATCCAGTTAAGTCTTCAAGTTGTAAAGTATAGCTTTATAAGAATATTATTTTTTTAAAATTAATAAAGATTCAATTCATTTTTTTGTTATCTCTTTGAAACCCAACACATTTTAGATGTATTTTTATTTGTTGGCATGTGTTAGTTTTGGTATATATTTAATAATTTGATTAGAGGTATTTCTCGTGCTTTATAGATGATTACTTTAGAAAAAAAAATGGACATATTTCTTAGTATAGAAATCAAAGGCTTTTTATTATTTTAAATGCTTCAAGAGTCTTGTTGAAAAGGAAACTAGCATGCAAATTGAATGCCTTCAAACTAACAAAGGAAGGGAATTAACCTCTAGGAAATTTAATGAGTTTAATCAAAAGTTTGGAATCAAGAGACGATTAACCACTACTTACATTTCCCAACAAAATGGGGTGGTAGAGAGGAAAAATAGGGTAATAATGGATATGTACATGATGTTGTTATAAAAAAAAGGTTCCAAAAAATTTCTGGCGAAAGGTAATGAACTAGGTTGTCTATGTGTTGAATATATCACCAACATTGGCTATTAAAAATCAAACACTAGGAGGCATGCAGTGGTGCAAAGCCATTAGTTGAGCACTTTAGAGTGTTTGGATGTGTGGCTAATATACACATTCTAGATGGTAAAAGAACTAAATTAGAGAACAAAAACTACAATTGTGTACTCCTTGGGATGAGAAATGAATCTTAAAGGTTAAAGTTTTATTATTCAAATGCAAAAAAGATTATTGTGATTAGAGATGTAGTTTTTTTGAAAAAGACACTTACTGAAATTGAGACACATAAAGAAGAGCAAACTTTAGACTTGGAGTAGGACAATTCTAGGAGTAATTATGATGTTAAATACACAAAAAAAAAAGAAGTTAACATGACATTAATAGACTCCACAAATCTAAAGACTTTTGAGGTAGGAGTAAAAAGTACAACATAAAAATTGGCTACAAATGCAAAAATCAATTGTAGTACGAAAAATGGAACATGAAAACTCATTAAATTACTAGTTAGAGCAAAGAGGATAATAGTCAAATGATCTATAAGACCAATATAGATGTTAATTAGAAGTCAATTGAATTACAAGAACTTACTATTATAAAAAAGATGTAGTCAAAATCTATATAGTTAGTTTTGTTATTTTTTCCAATTATCCAATTAAGTCTTCAAGTTATAAAGTGTAACTTTATAAGAGCATTATTTTCTCAAATTAATAAAGATTAAATTCATTTTTTATTATCTTTATGAAACCCAACACGTTTTAGACGTATTTTTATTTGTTGGCATGTGTTATTTTTTGGTACACATTTAATAATTTGATCCAATTAAGAAAACCTTGGTTTCAACTATGTAGTGTCGTGTTACACAATATTTTGAAATAGTAGAGATGAACAAATGTACAAGTGCATACAAGTGGTTAGATGGCTGTTTGACCAAAGTAGGGTTGTATGGAAACTTAATTACGTAAATGGGGCTGTGTAGAAACTATTTACGCCTTTGGGGCTGTTTACAACGGTGTCGCTATGGGCCATAGCGACACCACTACCACGTGGGTTTTTTTTTTGGTGTGGGTGGGTTTTTTTTTTGGTGTGGGGTGGGCTCGAATGAGCCATAACAGTGTCGCTATGGGCTGAGGCGACACAGTTTGTGCGCCATTAAAAATGGTGTAGTCCATAGCGACACCATTTAAGAAAAAAAACAAAAAAAAAGTAAAATAATTTAAATCTAAGTTTAAAATAATCAACTGAACCTACTTATTATATATTTATAAAAATAAAAAATATTTATTTAAAAACGTAATTATAAAAAATATATAATTATTTTTTAAGTGGCGTTATGGCCTATAGCGACATTGTGTCGCTATAGGCTATAGCGACACTACTAATTT